GGGAATGTTCGATTAACAGATGAAACTCCATTAACTGCATCTGTAATATGCTGCCAAGCTTCCTTTTTTTAGGACCCGATACGCCACTATATACGCTTGAAAATAAAAGTGGCGTTTTGAATGAACTTCTGATAATCAAACTTCAATTTCTGCATCTGAGAATTTTTTTTTTTCATTCGCATTCATGTCATAATATGATGCCCATATATAGTTGTCAGTCAGATTTAATGGGCGGGATTTATGGTAATTGAGAATGAACGTGCACGCGCATCCCATTTACGACTGATTGGAATTCATTAACACACACACATTTCACTATCACATCTGACGTTTACGAAGTATTTGTGAATCAGGAGAAGAGTTTTCGGGAAGGTCTCTTTACGCGCAAATCACTTCCATATTTACTCGTATATTTACGAATGTTTCATGAATGAGACCCAATGTGTTTGACCACTTCTGTTCGGATGTCATGGATAGCTACATAATGACTACATAAATGAGTGTTTGGTGAGTATGTAATGGTCTTAAATGTGTTACTTTAAGACCCATGTTTGGGATGAAATATATGCTATGCCATTCTGTTCTGGTTTGTGCTTTTCTTTAAACAAAATACAATCGTTAACCTGTCATGTGGATCATTTTCAACACACTATCGGTTACAAGTAGACAGCCTTTATTTGTCCCAAACAAAAAATAAAGACAGCGACACACCAAGGTGACGAAAGCCGACTGTGTAGTCGCCTCGTGTTGGCTGCGTCTAGGCCAGAAGGCTGATCTGCCACTAGCCCGACTAGAGGCTACGTGGTGGAACATGCCGCTAAAACTAGCCCGAAAGTTGCTCATCGATCATCGGCTTCGTGTGTCATGGCCCTATGAGGATATATGGTGACATGCACACAACTACCAGGTGTAAATGGTCCAAGCGCTAGTCTAAATTCTGTTGGTCAAGAGTTGCCATTCTGAAATGTTTACTAATGGTTGACGTCCTCACCCATTGTGTCCACGATGAGATCCAGCTGGCCATTGTAGATGGTGACATTGACACCTGCAGCCAGAAGCAGATCCACAATGTTCACCACAGGCTTCATGAAATCTCCTGCCATGCTGACAAACACGGCATCAGCTTGTCCTGAAGAAACAGGTTTCACTTGTGAGAATCATAATGTTGTTTTTTTATTAACACAGACACCTCTGTAAACCATAAAAAGAATAATACCTCCCCATGTCACATTCTTTGGTATGACACCAAGCTTCTGTCTGATTGGCCCGTTCATCAAGTCAGAGAGGGACTGACGGTGCAAAGGGCGAATGTGGCGCCGCCTCAGTAAGGCTGTAAAAAAATGATGCCTAAAACATTTATGTAACAAACAGAAATTTTGAACAACAGTGCATGTTGAAGGTCTCACAGAGAAATCCATCCACGGCTTGATTTGAACTGGTCTTCACCATCTCATCGGAGTCTTGAGTGAGGATGTTGTAGAAGTTCACACCATTTGTGTTCTGTAACAAAATAGGTTGAGGAACTGAATGAATCACATGATGTTTATTAATCCCATTTCTTTAATTAAACAATGAAACCTCTACCTAAACCTATTCCTAAGCTACAGAAAGGTCTGTAGAGCACATTCAACTCGCCTGCTCCACAACATTCTCTGTGATGGACCACAAGTCAGTGGCTGTTCGGTACTGGCCCTGTTCTACTGCGTCCTGCACCGCTTTTGCTGCTTTAGTCACCTCATCCAGCCCATTGTCATCCAACAGAGACTATAGACCACAGCACAGACACACATCAGAAGCATTAAAAACTTTAATAGCTAGTTATGAACAATGAATAGCTGCAAGGGAACATTTCATTTGGCCAAATCATCATATTAGAATGATTTCTGAAGGATCATGTGACACTGAAGACTGGAGAAATGATGCTGAAAATTCAGCTTTGACATCACAGGAATAAATTACGTTTTAAAATATATTTAAATATAAAACAGTTGCTTTAAATTGCAATAATATTTCACAATATTACCGTTTTTTTTATATAAAATAAATGGAGCCTTGGTGAACATGAGACTTTTTTCAGAAACATTTTTCTTTCTTTATTTTTTTTTTAATCTTACCAACTCCGAACTTTTAAATGGTAATGTATGCATATGTCAGATCATTACTGTAGTAGTATGTTTTGATCATACTAATGCAATCATGCTTAATCACTGTGAAGAGGAGACAGAGGAGTTATGGTGAATTACTCACTGTGCTGTAAAGATAAGGACCCCATGTCATGACTGAATCTGCAGGAAAAACAAGCAATCGGACGTGGTTTTTTGGGGGGGGGGGGGGGGGGGGTTTATCAGCAGGTTTATGCAGTCATGTGAGTCAGGACTATATAATCATGATGAATCATGATTGTGCATGTATAATGACTAGTAAACTGAGATGTGATAAATTAAATCAATAAAAAGACATAGCTGTACACAACCAGACTGAAGCTTGACAAGCTTTTTACAAACCTATAGGAGAGATCCAGGAGTCTCCTAAAGCCACCCCAGCAAAGTTGCATTTTACTGAACCAGTTTGAACTGCCTAAAGAGAGAGGAAATTACCATTCAGTGCAGATTAAAACAAGTATTCTGAAGAGTTGCCAGATTTACTTTTGAGGAACCAATCTGACTCAAGCTCTCCCTCTTTTAGAGGAAATCACCGAAGCACATGACTTAAATAGTTTTATGGACGTCTTGTGAATGTTGTACAAAATTGCCTCTCATGAAGCCTGAAGTGAGAACAAACATTTCAGTACCTTTGTGAGCTCCAGGGAAATAGCTGCTGCCATTTTGCCTCCGTAAGACTCCGAAAATATATAGAAGGGAATACTCTGTCGGGGAGAAAAGTAAGATACTATGACGAATGTGAAGAGAATATCAAATTCAGTCAATTTTGTTTTGCTTACTTGAAACTCTGTCTTTAGAGAGAAAAAGCTCTTGAGGAGGACCATCATGTCTGATGCTACCATCGCAACGTCCTTGGTGAGGGCATCTTCAGTGTCTGTGTAACTGTATCCGGTGCCCACTGGGTTATCCACAAATAGCACACTGGCAGCTCGCACCTGCATAGATAGACATATATTTTTGGATGAACAATAAATTATTCACAGACTCCACAATAAGTTTTTTTTTTTTTTATTGTACATAATGCTATATTAAAGTTATTTATACAGAAACACTGAATCAAAACATGCAATATATATTCCATACTTCCTGAAATAAACATCTTAATCAATATTGCAGATATGAGAGTCAAGACAATATATTAGTTTACCAACCCAAGAGGTTTCTCTCGGCTTCAGGTCTCTATCAAGAGGTCCAATTTCCTCAAAATTGCCAAAACCACAGCTAGATCCCCCAGGACCTCCCTAAAATAAACAGGAGCATGAACGACCTTAGATGTTCTTCAGAAAATTAAAATCAGGGTGGATAAACAGGAGAAGGTATAACAGCTATGTGAATTCTGAGTGAAAAAAAGCTTCCACTGAGATATTCTCCAAATGGAGAGGATATATGACAGATCACACTGGTCAGAGAAGTGACTAACCTGAAGCCACATAACCAGAGGTAGTTCTTTATAACTGGCACTGGAGCTGTTGGCGTAGTATAACCACCAGAACATATGAGCTCCATCACGGACATCCACATATCCCCATGATTCTTTGGCTTGAACTGGAACACAACTACCTGTTTTTTGATGATAAGAACAACAAAAGACATTATTTATTATTCGAGCTTGGAGTTTCATACTGTCTAATTGTAAATGAAGCAGAGATTTTCTTAAGAGACGTTTAATGGGCGACAAGAGGGAGGATAGGTAAATAATTCAACGATTCCGATTATTTTAAACGATTCTGTTTCGGTTACATAGGCTATAAGATTATTTTTTTTTCTTGCAAAACATACAGAGATCACATGTTTATGATATATAAATTTGAATACAATATACAAACATAACACAACGGTAACGGTTTTTGTTTCATTTCGATCAATAAGGGATTGAATCATAGACTGTAAAAAAAGATTCAATTAAGCAACAGCTCCAATTTAATTATTTATTTTTAAATTGAGAACTAAGCTGTACAAACAATATAAAAAATTACAGAAAAACATCTTACATACAGTATTAAACTATAACTAGTTGCATGGTCCCTGTTTGGAATTTTTACTTTTAGATATTGTTTCCAACCGTTTTAATGTCAAATTTAAATAGTTCAAACATAAATATGATTTAATTCCAGTTGACTTTATGAATATAGTAACTAACAATTATAATAATTAAACCAAATATCAATGCTCAACTGAAGAGTATTTGATTTGATAAAAAGAACCGACTCATCCTCATTCGTTCTGACTGGCACACAACTGTAGGCGCATGTTCGAAAACGGTTAAGGGAAGTTGGGAACCGAAATTTCAGGGAAAACATTCGGTGTAATTTTAAAAATGGTTCACAACCGTGGGTCGATTAACTAAGTTACAGTTGAAACAACGGACAACATCTTTCGCTTTCACTTTGTGCCTAAAGTTACAAAACATTTTAGTTTAATATTCTCATCATCTCATGCTGCAATTGCACCCCCTAAGACCAAAAAGGGTGACTGTGCCTAAAAATATACAAGTTATCCCTAAAAGTGTATACAGCACATGTTACCTTTGTGAAAGCTCAGAGAAAACAGCAGCACAACCAGCATGCCAATCCACGACAGTGCCATTGTTATTGATCTCAACCTCGCTCAAACAGGCTTCCACAGTGACCCACCGGCTGCTAATGCTCAAACCCAAACCTGTGAGCAGCAATGTGATGTACGGAACCGCATCATATGACTTCAATCAGCTGACGAACAGGGAAATAAATAAACCGCCACTATTCTCTTCCACACCAGTAGAGGACAGCAGAGGGTGTGACAGAGTGACTGAAGCCCTCGTTTAAAACAGTGAGCGCTTCCATCGTCCTCATTGATTCTGTTCAGGCATGGCCACCTCCTGTCTCAACGCGGTTAGGGTTCGATTGTACTTTGATTATCCTCCTCCCGCGACACCTGAGTGTCGGATGTGTTGGTTGCTGGTGGACTTGAACAAATGCCGAGTTATCGCAGATCTTTCCAGCATTATAAAGGAAAAGTTTGGCTACAGCCGTAAGACTATTTTAGACTTATTTATTGAGGATTGCTACCTGCCTTCCACAGAAAGTATTTATATAGTACGTGACAATGACAGTATAAGGTAAGAACTGTATTTTAATAATAATGGGGACGTTTTTGCTAGGTTAAATAACCTTTTAAATGTTGATAAGTGTTTGTTTATTCATCATCCCTATTGACAGGGTAAAGGTATTCAGTTCTGTTTATGGTAATGGTGCCGAGGCTTACCAGAACTCTGAAGCAAAAATCTCAAAGACCAAGAAAAGAGTGAGAGAGGATGAGACGCAGGTCTGTGAAGGTCTAAGTAAAAAAAAGAAGCATGAAGATGCTCATAGCAATGCAGAGGATGGCAAAAAGAAGAAAAAGAAGAAAAAAGAGGTGAAAGAGTCAGCCACCAAACCTGCCACCCCTCAAAAGAACATTGTAAGCCCCTCCTCTTCGAAAAACAACAGAAAAAGCACTTCAGCTGTCGCCATCAGTGACAAAACTACTCGTACAAAGAATCATGAACCAACGTCAAATTCTTCAGATAGCAGTGAGGATGAATCTCACAAAAAGGCCCCTCCACCAAAACCTAAACCCAAGCAGAATGGTGCAACCAAAAAGCCTGCGCGAAAAGAAAGCACATCATCGGATTCATCATCTTCGGGTGCTGTTAATATATCCAAAAGCAGCATCACTGTACAGCCACTTCCTGCTACACCTAAACCATCTAGCACAAACTCAAAACTTCTACTACAGACACCTCAACGTAGAGAGAGCTCCACAGATTCGTCTTCCTCCTCGTCATCACCCAGCCGAATCAAACCTGTAGCCAAGAAATCACAAGCAGCAAGTCAACCCTCCTCAACCACTCAAAATTCAGTTCAGTCGGTCTCGTCTTCTGTGTCTAAAGAGCCCCAGGATAAGGCAGAGAGCTCAGACTCTGATGCCAGTGAAATAGAGCTTGTGATTAAAAAACCAAACCTACAAGGAATGGGATTGAAAATTGCTGGTTTGAGACCCTGTGCTAGTGAGGCAGCAGGCAGAGACCGAGGAAACACAAGAGGTCAGGAGAGAGGTAGAGGTCGAGGCGCAAATCGAGGCAATTGGAGAGGAGATTTTGGTAGGGCCAAGGGAACACCGTGGAAACAAGACTCTCCTTTCGAGCGGCAGAAGCCGAACGATTCTCTGACTAATGAAAGTTTTATTCTGCAGGTGAGATGAATGTGAAGATGTGATTTATTAAAAGAAGCTACTGTTATCTAAATTTAGCAAATTGACTAAAGCATAAGACCGCTAACAAATTCTCCACTACACCACAAAATCTAGGGTTTTCAAATAGGGCTCTTTGGAAAAGATATGTAAATCATATATGTCCGGTTTCACAGACGAGGCTTTAGTCCCAGACTAAAAGGCATGTTTGAGCTTTTTTAACTGAAAGACATTTGCACTGGCATATCTTGAAATATGTCAGTGCCATTGTTTTGTCTCAAGATGCACATCAGTAATGTTTTTTTTCTAAGGCACGTTTATAAAAGCTGCTTAAATTGAACTTAATTTTGGCTTAATCTAAGCCCTGTCTGTGAAACCATGGCCCTTAATATAAAGTGTTACTCAGAAAATCTATCTTTTTATGTAGGGGGTCCCTTGGTTGTCTAGGTTAGAGTATCTGAGTGTTTGGATAAGGGGTCCCTGGGTTAGGAAAGGTTGAAAATTAAACATACAAATTTTCACAATTTCTGTCATGCGTCCAGAACGACCTGAACAACACTTTCAACTACGATAATAGTTCTTTGTTTTTCATACCTTATTATATAAATAAGTTCTAAATGTATTAATGTAATGTATTATCTATATATTTATTAACATTTTTATTTTTGAAAACTTGAATCACGAACCATACGGTGGATGTTTTGTGTTGTAGAATCCACCTGAACCGGCTCCCAAACGAGACTACGCAGCTTTACCCTTGCTGGCAGCTCCTCCTGCAGTGGGTCAAAAAATCGCTTTTAAGGTGCAGATTTGATGAATGATGATAGAAACACTTGAGGATTAATTTAAAAAATGTTTTTTTTTTTTTTTTTTTTTTTTTTTAATCATCCTGTTAATATTATATATGATTATTTATGCTGAGTTGTTAGTATAATACTTCCTAGTTTCAGTGAGCACATGCCAGTTTGTGGTCAGTTTTCCATGGATCTGTACTTTAATCTCTATGATTATTCTTTCCTGTCTCATAGCTTTTGGAGCTGACTGAGAACTACACACCAGAGGTGTCTGACTATAAAGTAAGCCATTGTACACCTCTATAATGTGAATTGTGTTGTTGTGTGCACATTAAAAACAGTCTTTGCTGTTATTTAGGAAGGGAAGATTATTGCATTCAATCCTCAAACAAAAGTGACGGAGCTTGAACTGCTCTCTCAACCTCAAGGTATAACCAACACCTTTTTTTTTTGCCACTGTTTCATTTATATAAATCTGACACCTGAAGCTTGGCAGCTGCTTTATTAAGTGCTAATTGCACTCTTCCTTCTGCAGCAATAATTTATTTGTTATGCGTCTTTTAGCTCCAGTTGAACCTGGCAAGTTTGACCTGGTATATCAGAACCCTGACGGATCAGAGATAGTGGAGTATGCTGTCACACACGGATCACAGGTACTGAATGCTCTCTTAAATGTTACATTAGGTTCACACACCCACATCAAGGGGATTTCAGTATGCCTGGAACATTGAATTGACCAATCAGAATTCAGGGAAAGATTGGTCTATATATTTAAAAGATTTTATTATGGATTGTAAATGCATATGAACTGATCAGGCATAATACTAAACACACAGGCAAGTTTACTGGAACTACATCATTAGGTGAATGTGTATTAAAAATCATCATTTGTCATTCTAATGTAATTTGTAATGAACAAATTAACTCCTGGCTGTTACCTTCTTTGTTGGTGGGGAGATATCAGCAAGATAGTCCGTGGTAGTAATATGAAAAAAATAAAAGCTTGTAGCACGAAGAACGACTACGGTAATTAGCGAATTCAGATTTTGGATCATAGTTACTACACTTGCTGGGGAAATGCATTTGACGCAAAGGAATATAAAAGTGCATACTCCATGTTTAACATATGCAGTGTATGTCCTGACAGTGCTAATGCGAGTGCTGTTTTGCAAAGCTCTAAACCCTCTTTTGTAGTTTGGATTGTAACCCCATCCCCCAATCCCACACAATTGTTGCTTTCTGATTATCCCTTTTAATTGTTGAAGTGAATAAGGGCAGTTCTTTGTACAAGTGCGTATGCTGTGGTAGGCTAAAACAAGCCTGTCTTTGATGTCTTTACTGCAGCTGACTGAGCGCTGGGATTCTCTTCTGGAGCCCCGGCTCATTGTGGAAAATGTCGGATGATGGTCAGAGAGAACATGTACCCTGAGACGCACCTATTCGGATAACCTTTCTTATTTTAATGTTGTTTTGTGGAAACGGCTCATTCTCATGAAATTGTATTAACCATTTATTTTTTATTCTCAATGTCAGTTAAATAAATACTTTGTTTTTTTTTGTTAAAAAAAAAAAAATGGCAGTATTGGTAGTGTCTGTTTATACAGAGTACAAATAGCCAACCTCTTGGCAAAGACTGTTTTTACTAACTACTGCGATGCAGATTTAAAAAAAATATATTTTTTACAAATAGCATATTACTTATTTTTACATTTACTTATTTGTAAACTTTCTGTGAATGGCATCTTTCCCTATTTGGACTTGTAAACAAGATGATGAATACAGAAGATAAGTGAAGTCACCACACAAACCAAGAACTAAAAAGCACACATTTTTTTACTTTATCAAAGGATATGCATGGAAATTGCATATGTAACTATAGCTAGCAAACATAGAGTACATTAATGCCCATTTTATTGCAGGATGAATATGCTCCCGATCTTGACTACGCAGCTTTACCCTTGCTGGCAGCTCCCCTATAAAAAATAGCTTTTAAGGTACTATGTGATTTGATGAATGATAATAGAAATGATTTTTAAATGATCCTAATAATATTATATATAATTATTTATGCTCAGTTGCTAGTAGAGCTGACCAAGAACTACACACCAGAGGTGTCTGATTATAAAGAGCTATTTTATACTTCTGAAATTTAAATTGTGTTGTGTGCATAAACTGTTTTTGATGCTGTTGTGATTTAGGATGGGAAGATTGTTGCATTCAATCCTCAGCATATACTGTAATACAGTATGTGTGTGTATATAAATGTTGAACCATAGGGAGACATAGGGTGTCAAATTCTCTGTTTGTCCCATGCGAAAGCAGAGTTCTGTTTTGTAATGAATAGCAAAGATAGTACGTTATATATAATAGTCTACATGAAAATAGTAAGAATATTATTATGAACTGATATTCAAGAGTACGAACATATGATCATCTACTACTGTATCTTTTTTGAAACTGCTTTAGATTCAGAACAGTCCAAAATTATATTAAAGTGAATTCAATTAATTTAATCCAATCAGAGTTTCGTTGACATTTATGTCAACTGCGTGAACCAATTAAAGCGAGCTAAACACATCCGCATCCCAGATGACGTCAGCAGGAGCGCGCGACCCCTCCGCACGCGCAGATGATGGTTTCTTCCAGTTGAACTGAAGTGATGCTGATCTGGTGATGTCAGAGCGCTGAGTGAAGCTGAGCTCCGCGCGAGCTGAGATGATGGCGAGCGCGCTCACAACATCACAATCTCTAATACAAAGCGTTTAACAGCGCATCATCATAACAATGGACGGCAATGTCTTCCCCGACCAAGAACAGCTTTTGGTATTCCTGAAAAAGCTTAAAGAAGTGTTCGACGTGTGCGACGAGGATGCAGACGGATATATTCGGGTTGAGCACTTCGTGGACCTCGGTCTACAGTTCGGCCAAGGAGATGAAGTAAGAACCTGTCTTTACATAATCATTCACTCATTTTCTTGACTCAGGAATGTTTGTCGTGTCATACTGCAGTGCACTTTTGTACCTTACACATTATACTCTCTGGAAATATTTCAGTAAATCACTTTCACCGATCTTGTGCAAACAGGTCGGCTTATATTCTGTGATTGGTGCTGGACGTTTACAGTGCTAGAGTTTTATTTAGGCTACTGGCATTTTAATAATTGCACTTCCGCCAAGTAACCAAGACAACTGTCTCCTCACTCTCCTTCATCAACTGTGATGTCATCAGCCATCACACAGAGTCAACAGTTTTTTTTTTTTTTGTAGATTTAACAGATAAAAAATATTTGAGGAACAAGGAATACATCACAATATTAATTCCACAATAGCCCAGTTTAATGACAACATGTATTTGAATGTATAATTGGCTTGTTGTCCAGGACAAACAAAATTTATGCCCTGAATGGTATAGTTTGCTCAAATGAAAATTGTCATTATTTAGCTACCCACCTCATGTCATTCTGTTTGACACTCTTCTTTGATTTCTTTCTTTTAATTTAGGTAATTAAAAAGTTTCCATTCCCTTTGACTTTCATTGTATGAACAAAAAAAGGAAGGCAATTGGAACCAAAACTGTTTGGTTACCAACATTCATCAAAATATCTTTTGTGCTTCATAGATGAAAGAAATTCATGACATGATGGTTTTCCCTATTTGTTGTGTACTGAAGACATTGTGATACTTGACATAAATATAATACAGGATACATTGAAACCTAAATATTGAAATTCGTATTTATAATAAGCTATACATTTTTAGTTGATGAACAAAATAACCATTAATTTCATTTTTAATGTTGATCATGATGTTATATACGTTCTGTTTGTAGAATCTCAAGCAATTAGCAGTACTGGCTTTCTTAATTGTATCTTGACCTTGCATTTCTGGCTTCGGTGGGTCAGCTGTGTAGCTCAGTGTGTGCTTCTTGAAGACCTGCCAATAAATACTTTTGTCTAGAAATCTGTCTAATGGACAGCATGTCTCCTCGGAGTGACCAGTCAATATCCACCGGCCTGTGTGAGGATTGCTGCTGCTGCTGAATATCAGTTGAGCTGAGTTTGTGTATTTTGGTTGAAATTACTGTTTACTCTCAGTCACTTAGAAGACAGCTGTAGCGCTATGTTAACAAAATAGAGCAAGTGAACTTTTTTTTTAAATTAATATATTAAGTAGAAGTATTGAAATTGGCAAACTAATGATAACCTAATTGACTTTCAGATTTATTTAATAAAACGTGACATTGCTTTTCGTGGTGATCGTTTAGTTTATCGGTTAGCTGATCTGTCGGTTCAGCTAATCCTTATTATCTTTTCTTATTTACAGAGATGCCTATTATTCTGCCCAATTGGGCTACATTGTATTTGTCAGTTTAGTCACTCATCGTGCTTTGTTTTAAATTAATTAGACCTTACTCTGGAGAATCTGGACCCTGAATGTGCTGAAAGTATGAAATAACGGACCCTTTTCCTTTACCGTCGCCATGGCAATCATGTTTAACACTCTGATGATGCTGAAAAGGCCTTTCAGTAAATGCTGGGTGGTGTTTAAGATAAGGACATGCAGGTTGTTTTGGATCTGTAGGTTACACAACTTTACAAAAGATGGATGGATTTATCGGGGACATCTTGAGATTGGTTTGAGATTGTAGTTTGAGGTTTGGTGCTCTTAGTTGACCGTAGCAGAAGTATTTTCTTTACATGACAAATTATAGTCAGTTTTTTTCTGCTCTGTGTGCTGCTCCACCATTCTTGGTTGGCACTTGCTGTTTTATTCAGCAGATTAAGATGTTTAATTGCCTTCCTTTACACATTCAATTGAATCCATAATGAATTGTGGTGCCTCAAGGCTCTTTGTCATTTAAAATAAGTCTCTATTGTCTCAGTGGACAGCAGTAATGAAAACGGAATGAGCAACCTGCCTCGTTTTGCCGAAACCTTTTTCAGGAAATCTTGATGTTGTGCACTGCTTAATGTGCTTATTACATAAATTGAAAAGGCTTACATTCAGTATTATCTAAAGTTTTTTTTTTTTTTAGAGATTCAGATTTATTATTTGTTTTTGTAACAATTTACTGTATCTTTAGGCTCTCTTATCCCAGTCATTTTGGAATATTAATGTGATCATTTATGCTCTCAGATCATCTCATTTGATTTCAGAAATTATCCATGCCAGTTCAGACAGTATATTTTTACAACACATTAGGTCGTGCGACTGTATTGCTTGCTAAACATACTGAGCAGTGGTGACGAATGGGTTGATTTTATCTGATTGATAGCGAGCACAAAGGGGAAGGACATCGTAAGAGTAATCCTTCTAAACCTCCAGTCAGTGCCGCCGCCATCCCAAGTATGGGGCAGGGCCTAGTGCAAGGTAGCGGAAGCGGAGCCACCCCTCGGGCCGATAGCATTCTGGGGGTGGTTGGGGTTCCATTCTGAGGGTTGTTCCAGACGGTGGAGGAACAAACCAAAATACAAATCATTACTGCCGCACGGACAAACTCGCAATGTCTTGCGGTATGTATTGTAATCACCTCTGAATAAGGTGTAAATTATAATGGAACTATATAAATTACAAAATCTCAAATGATAGTTTAACATTTTGCAATTATGTTGTGTTTTCTTTGTAATGTATATGATTTTCTGGAGTGTCTCAGCTGTAAGTTATAATCCATTATTTATCGGATTTAATATATTATTGGCCAAATTAATTTTTCTTATCGGACCGATAACGATAACATTAAAAATGAACATATATCGACCGCTACCGATATGGTGGCCGACGTATCGTGCATCCCTAATTTTTATGGTGTTTTTGTATGTTATTTTTTGTTGTATTTTTTGCTGTTATTTAAGTACACTACTGATACACACCAAATCTAGTGTACACCAGAAATGGATTCATAATTATAATAATAATATAATGATGATGGACGATGAATGATGACGATGGTACTGAAAATTGGCTTTCATTTTTCAGCATCATTACTCCTGTCTTCAGTGTCACATGATCCTTCAGAAATCATTCTGATATGCTGATCTGGTGTTGAATAAATAGTTCTTATTATCAATGTTGAAAACAACTACTGCTTAATACTTTTGTGGAAACTGTGATGCATCTTTTTTCAAGAATCTTTGATGAATAGAAAGATCAAAAGAAAAGCATGTGTTTGAAATATAAATCTTTTGTAACATAAATATCTTTACTGTCAATAAAAACAATTCTGAATAAAGTATTAATTTCTTTAAATAAAACTTTTAATGAGCCCACACTTTTGAACGGTATTGTGAAGTAAACTGTTATCATATTTGTATGTTATTTATTTATTTTTGTCACATATTACTCTGTTACTTTTCATTTATTTTCCCCTTTCTATATTTAACTGGATACTATTATAGCAGAATAAAATTGAATAATAATAAAAAAAGAATCCTGTAATAAGTGCAGCAAACAAAATGGCTGTAAAGTAGTGCTTGTCATTAATCTGAAGCAAATGTTTGTGTGCCATGTTGTACCATTTGCTGTGATACAGTTCAGTGCTTTGTGCAGAAGGAAGTGATGTAACAGTGTGAGTGTGAGTGTGAGGTACAGTCACAGATGACTGGTCTCTCTACATGGATTCTGAGTCACAGTTGTGAGGAACAGTCATGATAGCAGCTTGAATGTTTGTGATGACCGTCTCGAAGTCCTGGCAGGTCTTCTCACCAATCCATCCTCCATTTCTTTTCTTTAATCCATTAGTTGCATTCAGTCTTATACCATTTAAAATGTTATTACCCCTTTTTTCCATTTTTCCTTTCCTATTATCTCATAACCCTTCCCTCCCCTCCCCTTCTCCATCTCCTCCTCCAGTCCGTTTCCTGACGTTGTATGAGGATTGCAGTGATTGGTATGCATGAAGAGCACGAGGATGTTTCAGTGCAGAACGTGTGGTGAACGTGTGCCTCTGCTCTTCTTCCCTTCCCACAGGCTGCACTGTAGTGGCCTTGAAGAGCGCTTGCTAACATCGAGTCCTTGACACAGCACTATTTCACTGGGACCCTGATAGATCACACAGTGACAAGATGTGAGGGTCAACAGCATCTGACTGAGCTTTAATTTAATCGGTCATTGATGCTGTATGACTCCTCATGGCTAAAATGTAACAGAGAATGCAGAATTGAAAACAAGAATGGTGCTTAACTCATCACGTATGACTGTGAGGATTAAGTTTGATGTGCTCAGTGAGTTTAAAGAAACAATTTGTTGGTAATAAATCTGCAGCTAATCTGGACGTGGTGTGAATTTTTAGTTTTTGCTGATGTAGCCAGTTTTAGTGATGTAAACTGAAAACAACTGCTCCAAAGAACATCTTTAAAGGGTTAGTTCACCCAAAAAATCAGTTACTCGCCCTCATGAGTATCCTGTCATTCCAAACCCATAAGACTTCAGTTCATCTTCAAAACACAAATGAAGATGATTTAGATTTTTAATGAAATCTGAGAGATTTCCCTCTCATTCCCCTTAAACTTTCACTCTTCAAAAAATTCATAAATGCATCATAAATGTAATCCAAGTCTTTATATGTGAATAAAAGCCTAAATTAAATCTGTTCATCATACTGTATACTATAAAGCGATCATGTTTCTTTAGAAGACTTGGATTAAACTGCTCAATTCATATGGATGTCTTTATGAATTTTTTGAAGCGTGAATGTTTTGATGTAATCGACTTTAGATGGAGGGACAGAAAAAATTATAAAAAAATATCTGTATTTGTGTTTCGAAGATGAGCAAAAGTCTTATGGCTTTGCAACAATATGAGGGTGAGTGATGACAGCATTTTCATTACTGTTAAAGTCCCTCTGTAGTCAATAATTGTATCCCTTAAAACTCATCTTTGATCACCAAAATTACATATTTAAAACATTTTTCCTTGAAAAAAATTCTTCATGCCTTAAAATAGCTTGAATGTAACTCTACACCCTTGCCTCATTTAGTATACGCGGTTCTATGAATATGAGAATTAGCCCCGCCTCCCCTCACTCGCACAAGCTCAGAGATCCACTCGTTTATGGCGTTATTATCCTGGCAAATGTCGAGAGCGCATTATTGTAGCGCGAAAGTACATTAATATAATGCGCGAGCGTGAATCTCTCTGCTCGCGCCCGGAATATGATATGCCGAGCGCGAATCTCTCTGCTCGCGCGCGAAATATGATATGCCGAGCGCGAATCTCCCTGCTCGCGCGCGGGAACTGGGCGCGCGCTCTCAGATACACTTCTCTTGTAAGAATTCTCTCTCTGGGCTGAGTGGGCTCGCTGCCTCGCTCAGAGAATATGCCTGCACTTAAAAACGTGTTCAGTGCAATCGCCAATCGCTCCTCTTCCCCAGCTAACAATTTTAGGTTATAAGAACGTTTTCATAACGTTCCCATTAAGTTATAAAAACGTTATTTCTGAATGTTCTAGGGAATTTCAAAAAGTCCAGTTTTTTAGACGTTTTATTAACGTTATTTCTTGGTTATAAGAACGTTCAATTCTCCCGTTATGTAAACGTTGTATTAATGTTATTTCCTGGTTATAATAACGTTAGAACGTTCAGTTCTCCCTTTGTATAAACGTTGTATGTATTAACGTTCTTGCTTGGTTATAAGAACGTTATTCAAACGTTCAATTCTCCCATTATATAAACGTTCTCTTAATGTTTTTCTAAGATAATGAAAAACGTTTCATTCAATAAAAAAACATTAAGAAATGTTTTAATAATTATTAAAACCTGTCTTAATGTTTTTTATATAACAAGGTAGCCTATATAATGGGCCTAGCCTATGAAGAACCTAAAACAAGAACTTTCAGATTTTAAAATTAAGACAAAAATAAAAAAATAAAAAAAGACCCATGAATCATGTCTATAATATGTGTAATGTAGTCCACTGAAGTCGAGTTGAATTGAACCCAAGTAGGCCTATAGTTTATTCCAATAAACCGATTTGGGTTGAAGTGACCATATGAAATTAACATGAACATAAACTTGGAAATTGTTGTAAAAATGAGCTATATAAATTAAATTAACTTTAACTTGTGAATGTCATTGGTTGTTTTTGGTCATTATCCTTGTCCTTGTGTTCCCATTCTCTTGTCTAGCTTTGTTCCCTGTACCATTGTTGGTGATTCTATGTTTAGTCCAAGTTTATGTTCATGTTAATTTTATATTGTCACTTCAACCCAAATCGGTTTATTGGAATAAACTATACTTGGGTTCAATTCAACTCGACTTCAGTGGACTACATTACACATATTATAGACATGATTCATGGGTCTTTTTAAAAAATTTTGTCTTAATTTTAAAATCTGAAAGTTCTTGTTTTAGGTTCTTCATATAGGCTAGGCCTATTACCTTGTTATATTAAAAACATTAAGAAAGGTTTTAATAATTATTAAAACATTTCTTAATGTTTTTTATTGAATGAAACGTTTTTCATTATCTTAGAAAAACATTAAGAGAACGTTTATATAATGGGAGAATTGAACGTTTGAATAACGTTCTTATAACCAAGCAAGAACGTTAATACAACGTTTATACAAAGGGAGAATTGAACGTTCTAACGTTATTATAACCACGAAATAACATTAATACAACGTTTACATAACGGGAGAATTGAACGTTCTTATAACCAAGAAATAACGTTAATACAACGTCTAAAAAACGGGACTTTTTGAAATTCCCTAGAACATTCAGAAATAACGTTTTTATAACTTAATGGGAACGTTATGAAAACGTTCTTATAACCTAAAATTGTTAGCTGGGGAAGAGGAAGCGATTCGCGATTGCACTGAACACGTTTTAAGTGCAGGCATATTCTCTGAGCGAGGCAGCGAGCCCACTCAGCCTAGAGAGAGAATTCTTACAAGAGAAGTGTATCTGAGAGCGCGCGCCCAGTTCTCGCGCGCGAGCAGAGAGATTCGCGCTCGGCATATCATATTCCGTGCGCGAGCAGAGAGATTCGCGCTCGGCATATCATATTCCGCGCGCGAGCAGAGAGATTCACGCTCGCGCATAATATTAATGTACTTTCGCGCTACAATAATGCGCTCTCGACATCTGACAGGATAATAACGCCATACTCGTTGATGTGATTGGTTACAAGGTAGTTTGTGACGTCAGAAACACCAGCGCTTTCTTCTTGCATTTTTGAGTTCACTGCAGTTTTCAAGAGAAAATACTCAGCAATGGTGTTGACTTATTAATTTGTACATGGTTTGTCTTAAAGCATATTAAAAACACCACATAGACATAAACAACATTAAAAGCTTGATTTTCACCACAGGGGGACTTTAACTATCAATTTAAGGACAGGATTTGATGCATCTGCTGCACAAAACTTTTCATGCATGTTGACTTAAACTGGGCAGGGTACAATCAGGAAGTTTTTTAACATATTTGATTTTAAAAAAGGGGGAAAAAATAAAAGCAGTTAGTTTGTCACTCCTTTACATTTTTTGTTTATTCCATTTCTTATTCGGTAAAAAACATTATGCTTCCTTTTGGTCAGTGGTGGACCCTGATAAAGGTGATGCATTTCGGCTACAGCAACACAGTCTGTTACGCCAGTGCACACCTCACCTGATGCAACTAATCACTCTCCTGTTTCTCCATATCCATTGATATGCAGATATGCAACTTTACTTTTATTGTTTAACATACTGTATATGAGGTCTGGTTTTGATTTATTTATGTACACTGCTGATCAAAAGTTTGGAGTCGATATGATTTTTGAATTGGTTTTGAACAAGCAATTCAATGTAACTGTTTTCTATTTTAACATATTTAAAAACGTAATTTATTCCTGTGATGTCAAAGCTGAATTTTCAGCATCATTTCTCCAGTCTTCAGTGTCACATGATCCTTCAGAAATCATTCTAATGCTGATTTGATGCTCAAGAATCATTTCTTTTTATTGTTGATGTTAAAAACAGTTGTGTTGCTTTTAATATTTTTGTGGAAACCGTGATGCATTTTTTCAGGATTCTTAGATGAATATATATAAGGTTAAAAAAGAACAGCATTTATTTCAGAACAGAAATCTTTTGTAACATTATAAATTTCACTTTTTTTTTTCAATTTAATGCATCCTTGCTGAATTAATTTATAAAAGTATACATTTCTTAAAAAAAAAAGACTTACTGACCCAAACGTTTAATTGGTAGTGTGAATGGTATATGAATTGCATTCTTCTGTAGGCCTCTCTGAATTACTTTCTCTCTCTGTCTGAGCGGAAGTAGAGGAATTTGGGGCAGGTGATTTATTTAGCTCATGTGTGCTCCTCTGTGTGCATGCACCATTACACAGATGCATCACATTCACATCACCTGCTTTAATGGCCACTGTGTTTCAGCTCTCTGTTAGAGCTATTGCACTAAACACCTCTTTTTCCGTGGCAGCGTGGTGAATCATCCTAGCAGGTTATAAGGCGAGAGATTCAAGACTGAGAGGTTGTTAAGAACACTTCTCCTCCTCTTGGAGGTGAATATATTTAGAAAGGAGTGACGTTGTCAAGGAGCTGTGTGTGAGGTGTGAAACACAGTAACGATGATTTCTGTGTTACCATGGAACCTTTTCTAATAAACTCGAACAAGTCTGGCAGCCCTTAAGGGCAACTTTCCCATAGGAATGAAAAGTGACTAATGAGATCTTCTTAATATCTCCCTCACCATACAACCAAGGTAGCTGGCATAAACAAATGTCTCAAACCTTAATGTCTCAGTTTCTTATAGATGTGAGAATGAAGACATTTGCTAGAGAAAAGGGACCTTTCAATCTCATCTATAGGGGCTTTCGCACCGGAGGAACCTTTTCATAGTTCCTAGAACTATTGACGGAAGTACCCGGATTTTGGCGCGTTCGCACCGCAGGAACTAGGAACTATTTTAGTTCTAGGAACTCCTTTTGGAGGAACTAATTTAGCTCCTACTTCAGGTCTAAACCAGCACTATAGGAACTACTCGTGACGTTAGTGTTCGGTGATTGGCTGAACGCATGCGAAACACCAGCACCCGCCATTTTTAAAAAGGCTTTGTAAACACACAGATTATTGCCTATGTATTTACTCCAGAAACTTGAAACCACACAGCATATGCTACTAACTTTTCATTACTGTCTACCAAAGCCCCTTATATCACTATGAACTTGCTATGAACATTTCTCATAAAATTTTTCCAAGACCAAATTATCTGACCTATGCTTTTCACATTTCACATTTGATAGCTTTAAACAGACTGTATGCTAACAATGGTCTGTGTGTCATCTTTAGGGAATGTTGGACAAGAACATTTGAGACTTAAACATAACTGAGAACTCTTAAGTCTTCTAAGCCACGAAAAAGCAGTCGCTGAGCAATACGGTATTCACTATTATCAGAAAAACATGGTTTATAAGTTACAGCTACGCTTGACCAAGGTGTTTGAAGGCAAATCGTCTATGAGTTGAGTAAGCGAGTCGTGTCACGTGTCAGCAGAATGTCAGGATCAGTCTATTTCTCTTGGACAGCATGTCCATCACAAAGACTTGCTGACAGTGGGAGACGACACATCCTGACAGCAGCTGCTCTACTGCATCATCTGTGGGAGGTGAAGCTGACCACTGATAATACACACATCTTCCCATTCATCTATATAGGAAGGTACCATCCTGAACATGTGATCGCCCTCCTCATTAAGGTGACTTTGTGCTTACCGTTCTCACGATTGTCCTCTTTTTTTTTTCAGGTTAAGAAGTTTGCCAAGTACCTGGATCCCAATGCTCATGGCAGAATTAACTTCAAAGATTTCTGTCATGGAGTGTTTGCAATCAAAGGTAAGAGGACGGTTCCCCTCGAGCAGTATTTCATGCCCATATACCATTGATGAATCTGTTCTCATTAGATCAAAGGGATTCTAAAACCATGAAATCATGAGCTACACTGCAAAAAATAATCTTCTTATTCAGTCTGTTTTCCAGTGAAAATATCAAAACATCCTCAAAACTAGATACATTTACTTGAGAAGAAAAACGGTGTAAAATAAGAATACTTTTTTTAAGAATCGAGAATTCATTTGATTGTTTTTACTGCAGGGTTCATGAGGAAATTGTTGGGGGTTCATTTGATGATTAAAAGTTAATAATGAATTAAATGATACAATTTTAACATTAAAACAAATAAATTAAATATAAATAATAAATTAAATTAAATACATTTTAAAATACAAAACAATCAAAATACTATAAATAACACACTATAAATAAATAAATAAATAAATAAATAAATAAATAAATAAATAACAGTAAAAATAATTAAATCATTTATTTGTTTACCTGCGTGTCATGGGACCATTAACCAACATCAGATAAATGTGAACATGCAAATGTGTTGTTAAATTATTGAAATATTAACTTAAAATCTAAGGCAGTACTTTAAATTAATATTTTAGGTAAAAGGGGATCAGCAATCAAAAAAGTTTTACAATCCCTGCTTCACCCCAATGAAAAAGGTTTAATAATTAAATAATGCAATAGAAATTAAATAAAGTATGTAAATTTATCTTATTTTAAAAGTTATTTTTATTGGAAAACAAGATTAAAATACTGATTATGAAAATTATTTTTATACATACTATAGCTTCCTTTCATCAAATAAAGAGCACATCTCTTATGTTCTGTCACACACAGGTTTTAATTTCAGCACAAGTGTGCCAAACAGAAACAGTCTCCTGGGATGAGTGCTAGACTCCGTGTTCATTTAGACCGAGACTGCCCGTGTTACCTAGACAAAGTTGTGCATCGTTCAATAAATAAATGCAATTTTATCTCCAGACTAGTATTATCACTTCATTTTATTGAACAATTCATCTGAAGAATCCAAAGATCGATAAAGGTGCACATCAGCTCTGTCTTTTTAGCATTTCCTTCTATGTGTAGAATTGCAAGGAATAATGAATAGCTTGAGTGAGCACAATCTGATTAGAGATCTCTGCTTCTACGCTGAACACTCTTGATCTGCCTAATTGAAAATAACCACATTTGAACAGCAAATTTACGAGCAGCTTTGGGTGTGTCTTTAATTAAGGTTTATCAGATTGAAATATTTCCCCATATAATGACAGCATAGTAATTCGCTTGTTAGCGTGGGTTGTGCTTCTCAGTTAAAGAAGGGGGGACTTTATTCCTGATTATAGTGTCAAGCATCGCTATGGGATATTTTTTAGGGTTTCACAGACACAGTCTGTTACTGTGTAATCATGGTTCAGCAGTCTAATTTCACATTATTTATAGCTGTTTTAGGACACTTATTGTCTTGTCTAAATGGGCGCACTCACTTTTCCCTATTTCACTGTCATTAAGAGCACAGTAAACAGGGTTACATTTGTCAGGCATGGACACACGCACTGCTTGGCAGACTTATGAAGCCCAGATCTGCCAGCTGAATAGGCAGGCCACAGACAGGCACGGGGACCCGGGTACAACGTCTCTCTGTCAGCGCTCTGTGGAAGTGACTGAAGTGGTAGAAGTAGGCAGGCCAAATGGGCTCCAGGCCGAAAGACTTTGTCCCAGAGTGTTAAATGAGCCCCAGTGGTCTTCCCACTCACTCTTTCCTTAATGAATCCCCCAATCCCTGATCCCCAGCACGCACACCAAGTCTACAAAGCCAAAGCCTATGTTTGTCTTTTTGAGGTCCCATAGGGTACTCTAGTGTTGTGTATGGTGTACTTAAAAGATGCAGGATTGTACCACTGCTTTACCATTGGTCTGTCTTTGGCATCTGCTAAAACTGACCTATTGTGTACAGCTTTATATATTTATGTATTGCCCACAATATGTTCCCATTTGGGACATTCCCAGAGCCAAGTCGAGCTGTTACACAGAGCTACAAACCTTCACTGCACTTCATGTTATGTGACTATAAATGGAGTCAAGGCCTTGGTTGCCCTATGCTGTGGCTCTCAGTATGTTATTTATTCATGGCATTTTACTTAGCCTGTTGTATTTCTGCAGATGGGCTTGTCTGTTTGTGTGTGTGTGTGAGCAACAATATAGCCTTATATTTAAGAGAACAATCCCCCTTTCCAGCATAATATCTAATGTTGATCTTTCAGTTTTTATCAAAATGAGGATCTTGACATTTTTCTTGTAAGTGGAGCAAAGGAGGCCTACATTTTACAGTGTGTATAGTTCAATAATTCAAGCATGGGTTGAGAGAAGATGTCGTCAAATAGGGATCTGAAATTTAAAGTAGCAGAAACTGATTTAAACGTACTGTACAATGGCCGCAGTGTCTAGTAAATCAGAAAGCCACATTACTTGAATTAGTCAATATACATCTGAGATTCTCTAATGAAAAATATAATAGATGGAAATCCTTCTGAACTAATGTATTTGTTGTGGTGATGCAAACTTAATCAATAGCTTCATTTCGTACTTTCATAAAGCACATTCGGAATTAGAATTAAAGGGATAGTCCAATCAACAATGATTTACTCACCCTCATGTCATTCCAAACTTGTATGACTTTCTTTCTTTTATGGAACATAAAAGAAGATATTTTTAAGAATTTTGGTAACTAAACAGTTTTTAATCCCATTCACTTCCATTGTATGGACAAAAATTACAATGTAAGTGAATGGGAACCAAAATTGTTTTGTTACCAACATTCTTCAAAATATCTTATTTCTCGTGTTCTGCAGAAAAAAAAGAAATGCATACAGGATTGGAACGACATGGCGGTGAGTAATTGATGACAGAATTTTCATATTTGGGTGAACTATCCCTTTAAATGAGGTGGATCTTACAGGAATGTATAGCATATCAGTGCAGAGAAAGATTCGGTATTTGTGCCATAAATTTATACAACTTTTTTACACAGTGCTCTGGAGTACTCTATTCTGATAGCATTCAGCGGTCAGATATTTCCTAGTTTTCATTGTCAACTATGGCACTTTTGCACTGTTTTTTTCTAGCCCGCAGGTTGAAGCGACCCCCTGGAACGCGATTGCTACAGAGTTTTGGGCTTCTCGTATCACACAGACTTTGCATTTCAATGCAACTGGTGCCATCTTTTGTTTCACTTATCGATTGTTTTTGAAAATCAAATTGATTCATTGTTGTAGTGTTCGTCTTGTTGATAGGTCTATTGACTATTTTTTTCTAATAAACATATAATTTTTTATTTATTTGCTGAGTAGCCAATAGCCATAGCCTGGCAAGCCAGACCCACATCAAGATGTTGGGTCTGGGAACTCACCATTGGCAGAGCTCAATCCGAGGGGCGGGATAAACGGTTGTCTTTCAAATTCCATCTACACGCAATAGGATAGAGCTAAAACAAACCAGAGCGTTTTCCCACCAGCGGAGCTAGTTGATTGCCGTATCTGGTCGGCAAAACTACGAACACATCTTCCTTTTTTTAGAATGACTTAAAGGCAGGGTAGGTAAGTTTGAGAAACTAGCAGAAAACTGCTGGATTTTGAAAGTATCCAACAGAGAAACTCCTAGGGCTGCACGATTATGGCCAAAATGATAATCACGATTATTTTGATCAATATTGAGATCACGATTAATTATCACGATATACAAATTTTATTGTCAGTGTCACATAGGCTAATTATAACTGCTTTCACATCCATATTGTGCTACATTCCTGCTAATGTACAAATATGTCCATCAAAATAAAATATTTCCTCTTATTCACCAAAATTCAGTGCAGAATAAAGAAAAGAAAAATAAAGAAAACAATAAAGAAAATGTAGCAAAACTTCAACAGGGCACTATTTTACATTTTACATTGTGTAAATATGTTTTGGGAAGCAAAATATAAACTTGCATTGTACCTGCATAATGGATGTGAATAAAACTCAAAATATACAATCAATAAAAAACAAATATTCCATAACAGAATGTAACCAAAAATGAGAACATTTCAAGGCAGAACAATGCACTATGGAAGTTCGATTGTTCGAGTCATTGTTATTTGACGCTTAAGAAACGTAAAACCTGGTTGTGGTACAGACAGTGTCAGTGATTAGTTGTGAAATTTTACTGTATAAATTGAATGGCATTTAATCCTCCATATGAAAGTTTATGTGCTCAAATTATTTCTATTTATTTAACAATAGTTTAAAACAAGATGTTTGTAGTACTGATTATTGGAGTCCATTAATGGAACTTCCATGCCTCTTATATAGTAATAATTATATATTACTATGTATGTACCAATTTACTAATGCAATTTACTAATGCTCGGATACACTCGGCCTCTCACGCGCAGTGTCACTCGTGCTGCGTCCCAATTCGCCTACTTATACTACGCCCTAAAAGTATGTACTCTTTTTGTGAAGAAAAAGTACATACTTTTGAGTGTGTAGCAAAAGAGTAGGCAAGCTTTGGGACATACTACTTCGTCATCTTTAACGGACAGATCTGTCGCGTGCATCCAGTCACCGTAAACTGCCCTGTCAATCATCCTGTCACCGTAAACTGCCCTGTCAATCATCTCGTCACAGTTAAAATCCTCCATTCAATCTAATATAACTTCTTACCATTTCGGAGAGAAATGTTGTAGCACGTTCATCTGCCAGTCATGGGTCTTTCATGCCGAGACTCTCCTCATGTGTTTGGAATTTGAATATAGGCCTAATGCATTTAAAAGTTAATGGCTAAACGTATCTTTGCAAAAGTTCACAATGCTGCTGCAGATGCAATTTAATGTGGACAACATTGAATAAATACATTTTCGTCAGGTTAGATACTGATAATTAATCACTCAAACCCCTTTATCTAAACCTCTCTACATAACCGTCGGACTCGCGCGTCCTCCATGTCTGTAGTTTTTGAACACTTTTCACTCGTTTTTTGTAGTTCTAACCGAATCCTCGTCCAACGCGCGATGGGTTGTGGGCAATATCAGCCGTTAGAGTGTGCAACGATCTGCACTTCGGATTCTGACCGGATATAATAGACCATCCGGGTCTCTTTGGGACACTCATTTCAACCAGAGCCATATATATTACTCTATATGGCTCTGATTTCAACATACTATGATTTGGGACGTACTAATTCTATTTTCGAATACTATTTAGGACGGATAGTATGCGAATTGGGACGCAGCATCGGTCTCTCTCGCGCGCTATAGCTCGAGAGGCTATAACCCATGGGCCTTTTGCACAGGACGCGGAATGCGCTGCGCTATGAAACCCATTCATTTCAATGGCTTGCGCCGCGCAAAGACGTTTTGTTGTTGCGTCGACCAAAGCGCAAGCGCAGCGGTGCGCAGCTCGCGCACACGCTGCGGACAAAGTTCAAAATAGTTCAACTTTTGCCGCAGCGCTCTGTGACGATTACCAGCGCGGCCAATAGAAACGGGACATCCAAACAAACACGGAAATCAAAATGGATGAACGGCTAGTACTGTGCACGGGACAGATACATAGTTTACTGCTGACCCGAAAGGAGGAACAAAAATCAAAATAACTAACGTTATTATACTGACGTGTAGAACTCCCGCTTAAAGTTTTTGAAAACTCCGCCTACTTTGCTCTGGCATAGCGCAGCGCAAATCACGTTGTATCTGAAGGGCAACGCTGAACCCAGCGGTCAGCGCAGCGCATTCCGCGTCCTGTGTGATAGCCCCTTAACCCTCACTCTCGGACACACTCTGTCTCGCTTCGCTTTTGTCCAGTCCGGCGCGTGATCAGACAGTGGTTTACGGAGCGCTAGATTGGCTTTGCAAAAAAAAAAAAAAATTTCGCTTGATCACACGGAATTTGATCGTGGGAAGCCAAAATCGTTATCGTGATTAAAATTCGATTAATTGTGCAGCCCTAGAAACTCCCACCCCCTCCCTTCTGGGCTCCTTCCAAAGCCACGCCCCCAAAACACATGAACGCGTGATGCCGACCGCTCAGCTGGAGGACGCGTTTACCAGCGCCGAGCGGAGAGGAGCGCAGTGCATGGAGTGACATCACCTTTTTTTGCCTTGTTTGCCTGCGCTGACTGTATATGCAGGTACAGGTGGTACTGGGAATTTTGACTGCTCTTTCTCTGCCATAAATATGAGACATCCTAGCTTCCGGCCGGTACGTGCCTCTCCTCTGTCGAAATGAGCGAGTCAACCGGGTGCGCGCATGTGGGCAGCTCCTGTAGCAGCAGGGGTGGTAGCCATGGTAGCGAGGGAGAGTGACAGTCGCCCAGCCAATCATTGCATTCGTTCCGAATAGAAAGAGTAGCTGTGTTTATTGCAGCCCTGAGAGGACTACAGACACTCGATTTTTATACTCTCCTTTTCAGAGTACTTACATTTTAGATATGCATTGGTATATAAAGACAGTTTAAACAAATTTGGGAAAAAGTGTTTTAGAAACAAACTGCCTACCCTTTCTTTAAGTGCCGTTCTTTGTTCTTTTCTCAAAGAAAAGCTTAACTCCAAGTCCTCCAGAGTCACTGCCAAAGCCGATTCGAAAGACTGCTGTTCGCCGGCAGCAGCAGCCATTCTTTGTTTTCAAGTAGCAGGGAACCGTCGCAACTCTGTTGTCATTATGTTAAGCCCGCCCGCCGACTCTATACACGATGTGATTGGCCTGACTAGAGTTTGTTTTTTTCCAGCTCGAAAGCCAACGGAGAGTTGCGCAATAAAATTTGCTGCCGCTAGGGTTCGTCTAGATTTTTAGGCTAGAGTAGCCATGGATTAAGTGATATTTAGGTTGCGTTTGAAAGCTTAAAAAATGCTGCCTTCGGAGGACGCATTCCAAGGTGGGAAGACATCAACGCACGTCCAAAACCAATGTTAGCTTCACTTTCTTGTCTCCTGAGATACCTTCATCTGATGGATTTTTGAAGGCACCATATATGTATCTTTAACTGCCTTTGATATCCCACAATCCCGTGTATTCCATTCTGTGGCAGTTATGTTAAAAAATAAAGATGGCATCTGAAAGGTGCGGTTGGTGGTGCAGTTTATGTGTAAATGTACGTTTTCCACTTTTGATGTCATTTCTTGTGAGAAATTAGTATTGTATTAATTAAATATTAATTTAGTTCTCACCAAAGCTCACGCTATTTCACTGTAGATCATTTAACTGTTATGCTGCCTCAGAAGTCTGTCCGAAATCAGTTTCGTGAGGCACCTTTGTGCACCTGCAAAGTCATTGTCTGATAGAGCAGCGAGGCAACAAGTCAGCTGCCTAAGCTTTTGAACACAGCCGTAAAGTGGATTTATTTTGTGATAATGGCCGACTGACTGCACATTATCTCTTACTTATTTGTGCTTAATGAGACGTGTTTTCACAGGACTAATGTTTCTTTCTATGTGATTCAGGCTGTGAAGAGATTCTGAAAACTGCACTTGGGACCCCCAACATCGGAGCACAGCCATACCAGACGGACAATGGCTACTACTATCAGGTGGGCAGATTTCTGTGTTTGACTACATGATGTTTTTTTTCCCTTTCCCACATGACATGCCCAATTAGACTGTTGGCCCCCCCAAAAAACAAGACACTGGGTCTGTTCAACTGAAAACACTGCATATTTGTCATTGTGCACATGCACCTAATTGCACCCTAATTGCACCTAACCCTAACCGACAGAATCAATAGGGTCACCTAACTACTGAAAGTCTAAAAGTAGTGTATAGAGATTATTTTATTGTTTAAAGGTTCCTCTGTGTATGTGTTAGCTCAAGATTTTTCTCTAGTGGAAGAAAGGGATTTTGTCTCTGACTGACTGGTATTTTGAGTTTTTCCCTATTTGTGAAACAGGCTAATTTTTTTTTGTTGCACAGGTTTTGGTTCACTTTACTGGGAGGCAAGCACTCCTGCTTGTTCTTATTGTGTTCATTTGCACCATATTGAGGCAGTCAACCCAACAGCAAGCCAGAAACTGTAAGCACTTCTGTTGGCAATGTGTCTAGGCGCATTAGGACACTTAATGGGGAGATGCATTGTTCTCTGGAATGACCTTCCTTTCGTCTGCCTTACTAGCAATTCAGTGCTTGACTTGTATGAACTTGATGGATGAGAGTAAGTAGAGCCAAAACACCCCCCCAGCATGTCAGCTCTCAGTCACACACACACACAGCAATCCATACTGCCACTGTTTCACAGGCTTCTGCTTGAGTTACCGTTTAAGCCTTGTAAAACATAACCTGACACAGGACGTTTTAATGACTCCTGTCAGCATGCTGTATATGACTCAATGGAGCTGTCAGTCAAACAGATAGAGTGGAGGGGATTCCTGACATCCATCGACACATACTGTATACATTTATATGTATTTTTATGCAAATAATTACACACTTTGTTTTTCTTAAAGGTCTTCAGAATTCACTTTTAGCAGATATTTTTATGTAAGATGTTGTCTTACTCTTTTATGTCTTGCAAAAAATGGAGCATACGTATTAATTAAACACCTCCATAGGGCATATACAAATTTTATCCCCCTGTCATCCCTGAATTATAAATATCAAATATCAATAATTTATTGCTTGAAAGCAGAGAGAAATGCAAATCTGTTTCTGTAAACTGTAACTGTACCAATTGGACACATCAAAGTCCTCCCATTGTTGACCACAGTTCTCTGTATAAGTGAAGGTGATAGTGTGAAATCCTTCATAATCAAAGTCTCTATATTGTTTTGATTCATGGTAAAAGCTGTTAGGTGTATTTTCTCGGACTTTGATTTAAAAGCTTAATGAACAAGCCCATTCATACATCCATCCAGATATATGGGGTTTTAAATAACCAGTGCCTGTTTTCAGTTATACAGCTGTTTGATATTGAGCAGAATGGAGGGTTATTTGCAATTTGCACTTTTTTTAAATTATACATTTGTTCAGAGTAAATGTTTTCTATATGAACAAATTTGGCAAATCCTATTGTTGAAAACTTAAGTTTTCACTGTTATTACTCAATGTATAGATTTTAAAGATATAGATCGTATATAATATGCACATAGTAAGCATAAGAGCTGTTTCTAATATTAGAATGGATCAGGTTACTGCAACAGTGTTGGCATCATCACTAGGTGGCAGTGTTTGGAAAGATATGAGATGCATTTAGCTCAAAACAATGATTTAACATTGTTTTAACATGATTTAACATTTCATAACAAATACAGCAACACTTTGGATATAATATTATACATGCATGTAAAGTGCAAGGATTAGTGTTTTTCATTTTTGGAAAAAATGGCATTATGCAGATTTTATACATGCGCCATACTGGTCTATCTATTTGTATCGTCCATTACCAGTTGTAATCTAAAATAGCGTATTAATTTTTACAGTAACGCATGGATCATTTTGAGTGTTTTATCAGTCAGACAATGCACTTGAGAGTGAAGCTGGATCATAGTTTCCCTGTGGATATTAAACACTGCAGCAGCAGCAGCAGCAGCAGTGAACAGACCTCCTCCACAGTCTGAAAAAGACACATTCAGTCACACTAGGAATGTAATGATGAGCTTCGTAACCATATTGTCATTCATTTTAAGACACTAATAATTACATAGTAATTACATAGTAATACCCGAATGAAAATGTTGAGAGAAATATGAAGAGAAAAGGAGAGAAATATGAATCATTCTAGAAGACTGGCTAATTATGTAGCTAAAACATTGCCTGTTTGAGACGTTCACAGTCTGAGCAGCATGTTTTAGTACATTTGTAATTGTAGTATAATTTATTCCTGCTCATTTGCTCTCTGAATCCAGCTGCTGCAAAAGCTAACTTTTATCTATATTTTTAAGCTATCATTTTTCCAACAGTTACAGGAAATGTTTTCTATATTGTTGATCTAGAGGGTGGTGCAGGTTTTAGAAATATTTCCATGATACCTCCTGCACAAACAGCTTTTTTTTTTTAATTGTGAGATGGCTGTCGTGTGAGGATGTGCAAATGAAGTGTGACACAGACACTACTGCATTGCTCTTTGCTTTTTCTGTGCTCTGCTGCAAACGGTTCTATTAGCACTTCAAATGAACACTGGACTGAAGCTTTGCATTGATCTTCTGCAGAGCACCTTTATTTCTCTCTCTCTCTCTCTCTCTCTCTCTCTCTCTCTCTCTCTCTCTCTCTCTCTCTCTCTCTCTCTCTCTCTCTCTCTCTCTCTCTCTCTCTCTCTCTCTCTCTCTCTCTCTCTCTCTCTCTCTCTCTCTCTCTCTCTCTCCAAAAACAAAAAAAAACATTGAAATGTTAATTTTCTTTGATTAAACTGACACCATAAGATAGAATATCAGTGAATGGCATGATTACTTCCATGTCATGAACATATTTTCTAATTGGACCAGGATGCACCTCTAACTAATTATTGTGCCATTTCTGTGACATTTTCTTACTGTCATCTGTCAGGTAGCAAAGTTTTCCGATCATAGTAGTGTAGTGTTGCGGTGGCTGTCACAAAGCAATGCTGTCATATTAACACAATGCTTTTTAACATACTATTAACATGTTTGGTGAAGTCTTCACAGTGTGTGTGTGTGTGTTTAATTGTTTGGATAATTATATGTGTTCCCAGGACACACACAGCATGATTTAGAGATTAAGGTTACAGACAGCTGATTAGATTGACCAAGTATATTATGTCTCATGTACAGGACCTGCTTGAGAACAGTTAATGGCTTACTTGGTCTGTTAATGCTACTTATGTGAATACTATCCTTCACTGTCACACAAACGTTCTCCACTGACATTTTCTTTTCTCTTTGATAACTAAGTGCACTAAAGTTTGTGATAAGATATAGTGGAAAAAAATAACATCCAAAAATAAGCCACAGTTGTAATTTGTGTAAAAATTTAGGAATTAATGTTCACACAGTAGATATTATAGTGATGTGTGTTGACTTAACACTTTGTGCAGATGATCTAGTTTAAATATATAATTTTCATATTTGAACATTGAAAATCTGGCTCTGGGCATTTAAATAATAAAAATAAAGGTTAAAGTTACTAAGGCACTTTTAATGTGACCTTCATATAACAAAATGACAAAAAAGGTGCTATGTCTTAGTTTTAATAAAATCACACTCCGAGACAAAACAATTCCTGTTGACAACATTCAAACCCGAAGCTCATATTTTAGTTGTGGATGTGGAGCTGTGTTTTGTCTGGGTTCATCGGTGTATGTGCGTGTACGTGTATGTATTGTGCTCGGTATAGATCAATCGTGATTGGAGTTTGAACTCAGAGATGTTTCTTCTGAGTGACTGCTGCTGAATGATAGTTGAGTCAGAGCACTAATGAGCCTGTCACATTGATTACACTGATGGATAACCACAGAGAGAGAGAGAGAGAGAGAGAGAGAGAGAGAGAGAGAGAGAGAGAGAGAGAGAGAGAGAGAGAGAGAGAGAGAGAGAGAGAGAGAGAGAGAGAGAGAGAGAGAGAGAGAGAGGTTTAACAAGCACTTTATTATTCTTTGAACCTTACATCACGTTACATTACTGGCAGTTATTAAAAAATAATAATAAAAAAATTAAAATAAATTACTTTATAATAAAAAATTCACAATGAGCTGATCATTTTGTACTATACATAGTACCTCATTAAAACACCATACATCACAAAAGAAAACCACATTATTTGTAAGTCTGTAATAAGCGAATTCGATTTTCAGTCTTCCCTCTACCAACCCTCTAAACATCATTTCAGGATCTATTGTAGCAAGTTGTAGACCTTTATTCTTTCTTGTCTTCCAGATTGCAAGTTTAGCTGTTCCCATTAAATAATTTAATAAACATATTTTCCTCCTCATTGAAAAACTATACTTCATTCCCCCAATAAACACTTTATCGGAAAAATCCTCATTAAAACTTCTAAACCAAGTCTTAAGCAAAACAAAAAGCTCTTGTAATCTATTACACCCTAAAAACAAATGTTCTAGATCCTCCTGCTCCCCACAAAATCTACATTCCCCAACTACAGCCGGATTTAGGTGTGCCACATGTCGGTCCGTAGCTATGGCCCCGTGAATGATCCGCCACTGTAGATCAGCAGTGCGCTTCTCTACAGGGGGTTTATACAGGGTCCGCCACCTGTCCCGCACGAGAAAGTCTGGTTGTAACAGTTCTGGCCATCTAGAAGCTTTTTGCCTCTTCAATGAATCTCGATGTGTGACTTTAACTGTAGTACAGTATATTGCTTTCTTAGACACCTTTTTAAAATGGTCTAGCTGAGGAGTCTTGAAAGATAAAATCGAATCTGCAACTCCACCTTCATCTTCTTCATTTATGACAGGTGAAATTTTTAATTCTGGAAAATCTTGACCAGTCCTCATGTCCTGCGTTTGTCTCAGTCCTATCCAAGTCCTGCAGCTGCTTGGAAGTGCATTCCAGATTTCGAAACAAGACGCAAGGACTTTAACCCCGTCATATCTTGAAGTGCCTCAATGGATTTCCAGCCCCTCTCATCC